CAAACAGACAGACATACGTTTTTATATAGATGAAATTTTTTTTCCGAGTTTTCGTATTGACGTGGGTGGAGCACTCAAATAATTTTTTAAGGTAGAAGGACTCATTGCATCGAAGAACTGACCCCCCTATAACCACCGGGGGATCGCCCAGAACACGCTCCTAAATTTACACGACGATCGGTTCAGCCGTTTTCGAGTCTATAGGTGACACCAGACAGACATACGTTTTTATATAGATAGATAGATATCCGGTAAAAAATCACAATCGGTATCGCTCCGAGCCTCGCGATTTGAGATTAAGGCACTCCGCCTTGTCTCTGGCGATACTTTTCATGGCCGCTCTGAGAGCATAAGCTCACAATATCGTTTCAAAACATGCTTCAAAAACCACTCGGTGCGGCAGGTAGTTCGGGAACATCACCTTCCAGAATAACAGGGGGTATGTCTTCGCTCCGCAACGGTGGCGATGAGTTACTTGACTTCCCGATTTGAACTCTGTTGACCAGGTACTCGAAGAAGTGCATGTCCAAAGCATCGACTCCGTGAAATGTGATTGCGTTAGCGCTGCAACAGCGTTTTCCCTGAAGAATGAATTATGTGATTAGGCTCACTTGGAGGAAAATGCGAGAGCTGAAGCGGGATTATCCCCTGAGCTGTCGTTCAAGGTTATCGTTTCACATTCACGGATTTTGCTTTGAGCTTCCCGGATCTACAGTCCTCCGAGAGCTCGCGCTCCTGGACGGGAGCTCTGGCAGCCGGGGACTCACCAATTTCGGGGCAAATATCGATTCTTCCACGAATTTATCATACGGCGATACACTTTTCTCGATCAGAAGCTTCTCAACAGGTCGCGCCAGAAATCTGGTCGATCCGCTCGAGTCGCGAGTGTCTAACAGAGTAGCGTCCGTTCCCATAAGTAATTGAGCTATTGTCACATCGAAATGCTCCTCCTCTTTTCGTTCATTGCAATCTGGGCTCAGCGCCAATAGGAGTGCGAGCACCGCACCTTGGCTCAGTACGATTCCTGCGAAATTTTCGGTTTAGCAGAAGATCATTACCTCAGAGTTGAGTTGGATAGTCGGTTGATCTCTTCTGATATTCATCCTCATCCACCAAGACCCGAAACCATTCAGACCTTACCGCCGCTCAACACGTTGACGATCAGCTCGCTCCCTCGCAGCGTTCGTCGGGTGACTGCGTGACCCAGGTAGTAATTTTCGCTAGTATTCAAAGGAGCGACTAGATATCTGAGATTTTCCACGACGGCGAAAGTCATGTCGTCTGCCAGCAGCAACCATTGATTCTTGTCGGCGACGAAGCGCTTCTCGGCGAATTTGTGAAGCGTAAGGCAAAGGATGTGCGGGTCTTGCAACGAAGCTTTGAGATCGACTGGCACATATTTGTCCTCGAAATCGGCGACAAAACTCAGCGAGTTGCAGTGCCGGCCCCAAGTCCCGATTACTGCGCGAGCTTGCCGCTGCTTCGAGCTCAAAACTACGCAAGAGATCTGTACCCGGTCGTAAAGATATTGAGCAATTGGAACGCTGCTGCTCGACGGCTTCGCGAGTATTCGGAGGTTTTCTAAATTGAGCCACTGCTCGAAATTACGGGAGGACCCTGGAAGAAGAATGGTTCCGTTCCGGCGAGCATTCGACACCAATGAAATCACAACGAGACCGATGAAAAATCCAGTGAAGATGCTGACGAGGAACACGACTCTTAATTGAAATTTCATCGTGGACCATCTGAAAGGAAACATATCTTGATACCGAGTGTACACGAGGAGCTCACCCCGTCATTGCGTCAGTTTTCCAGGAGGATTCCCATCGACTCAGACCCTCGAGTATAGGATGACGTTCTATTCGTTTCCGAGGCCCGCCAACAGTCCGCGAATCGACGGCCGCTGTCGGCTGACTCGAGCGGCTAACCTGGCACCCTCCGAGTCAGAGTTCTTCAAGATCGAGAAACTCGCGCTCCTCAGAGTTATCGTGGCCACGCTCGACGTGAATCATCAAACATGCCGATGAAGCGACTTAGACAGGCTGTATTCGGGCAAAACTCATCGGTAGCGTCGGGAAGCTCGACGAGAGTAATATGTTGGATTCATCGTCCCGCTTTCCCCGGAGAACTCGTCGTAGAAGTGCAGATCCTAATAGTCTCCGGGATCTGTACAGAGAAGAGGCGAATCAGCGGGTGAGCGGCAGAATCATGGCCAAAATCTGTGACGACGAGTATTTTTCCGAATGACCTTCGGTCTCAGTAGATGTACTTTCCGGGCATGGAAACATAGAGCACATGAAACATTCCGAATCTTCCAATAAATATTGATTCGGCAACAGAGACCGATATTGTTGAGCTACTGAGCTCAATCGAAAGTCATGAAGCCGCTCACTTTACAGACGATGTAATCATTGTCACGCTCAAAGGGAATTGATGATCCGATTGAAGGAGCGCCAGCCGCGGTAGGTCAAGGATAGGTTGACGACAGGCTCGGAGAACTCGCGATCAGATTAGACCTGACGTGTTTGAGCTGGTGAGCTATTGATATACCCCGCAGGCTTGAGAATTACGCAGATACAACGCTGTTGTCCCAAGCTGAATTACGCCGAGATGGCTGACGTTCAGAAACTTATTGAAACCAATTTTGTTCCGTCTCCAAATATCCCCATCTTCATTCGGTATCGGATTGAGATCCCACGGGGATGATGGGTGATCAAATCCGCTCAATGAGAAATATTCCATCATCCAGATTATTGACTCATTTGAGCTTCGAACCCATGTCATGAAACTGCCTCCCGATAGCGGGGGAGCAGGACCGATTCACGTTTTTTTCCACTAGCGCTCAACGCACAGCTGATGTGCAATCGGGTACATGTTATGAGAGACCGGGAAACAAAATCCGATTTGTCAACCTCCGTATACTCTTTATTGGTTCGTTCTTGATGGTATTACACTCGATGATTTGTTCAAGTTCACCGCAGACCAGCCCGACAGAGAACTTGTGATTGCTTTTCTCAAATTACACGATAAATATCCGTCGCTCAAATTCACGAATCCGGATGGCTCAAATGGTGAATCTTTCGCAGAGAACCGGCTCGTCCTTTCCCCAGTGATCACTCTCGCTTTTAGCTTTCCTCCCTGATTTCTGTAACAGTGGAGAGATTCGGAACGAACGATTTTCCCCTCGTCTCGCAGAGTTGAGATTTGACTAATATAGTCGCGTAGTAAAGAGCGGGTTCTGTCCGTAGAAAATACTTCCACTCTGTAGATTTATGTACAACCAGTTTGCATCCAGTTTTGCGTTGCCAACACTCACGATGGAGGGATCCACCCAGAGTCATCTGTCTCGTCACGAATAGATCAGTGAATCGGGTGATAAGTTCATTGGATCGATCAGAATGTTGCAAAAGGATTGTGACAGATGATTTCAATACGAGTAGTATCTTATGGTCATCATTCAATATTGTACTGCCGATAATGATAATCAGATCTTCCCCGGTTTTCTTGTGGTTCGACGACAGAATTGACAACGAATGTCATCGAATATTCAGGGCTTCCCGGTGTTTATACATACTCCGAAGTGTCCTCTGGACTACCATCCATTTCCCAAGATCTTTCTCACTTATGCTCCCATCACTGATTTTGATTCCCATGACTGATTCCCTCGACAGCTCAATAGCTCCCAGAATAGGTTGTCCCCCAAAATACTCTGTTGATAACTCCTGTCAACGACGACGTGACACATCCTCTTGGAAATTATTGTAGGCATTTGAGTCGTCCTGAGAGCGAGTACGTATTTTCCGCGGAACCGATAGTCGTTCTCGACTCTACGGACCCTCACTGACACATGTTTCGCGATGCGAGGAGTCACTCGCTGTCTGCGACTCTGTTCTCAGCAGATATCGCAGATTAGGCTATTATTGGACTTTGCTTCTCGTTGTTCCACGTATCATCTGACTAGCGTTTCTGACCGTCCTGCGCGTTCTTATGTCGTCTGTTCGCATTGCCCTGACATCTCACATCACAGCAGTGTAGCGACCGGAGATGATTTTCTTCTTGATCAGAGACACACGATAACCGCAGGCGGGAGCAAGCGTGAACGAAGCGTCGCTGAAGCACGCGTCCTCTATAGAGAACTGGGCCGCGACCTCTCCCGGAGGATCGGCGTGCAGCGGCCCGTCGTGCTGGAAGCGAGCCAGGATGGATCCGGCTTTGATGTTGACGACCTTCCAAGAGGCTTCTTTGACGCGCCGTTCCAACTACAGGGTGGCTTCGAGTGTACGTTGCTGATGGCGGCAGATGGCGGGAGCGTGACCGTAATTATGGCGTTGCACGGCCTCTGAGCCCACTTGTCTGTCGCGTTGTACAGATAGTCCACCTTGAGGTCGGACTTGGTCGAGTCGCAGTTCCAGTAGGTGACGAGATGCAGGGGGGCCGACGCCGCCCCGGGCCCACCGGCTAGACTGTACTTCATCAGATCAACGTTGAAGTAGGACTGGCCGGGGTGAGCGTCGTGGAGACGCTTCAACTGCGACAAGAGCTCGTTCATATCTATCCGGAAGGTGCCCGATTGCTCTTCTACCGACGTGACCAATAGCGAATTCGGGGTGAGGTTGTCCAGAGGAAGATTTCCCAATGAGAATGTCAGTTGCGGTATGTTCGGATGCGACATGAGCACGTTGAGAATGCCGGCCGGGAAGCACATTTTCATATCGCCGAAAATCCTCACCTGACAGAGACCTTCTTCTGCGCCTCGGAACGATGCGTGGACGACTTCCTGGAAAGCTACGGCTATCGGAATCGTATCGCCGTATCCAAGCGTAAGGGGTGAGGGACCTCGAGACCAGCCTGTCGAAACGGACCCAATCGACGTGACAGACTCGGCTCGCGTCATCGACGGTGAGGACACGTCGACCGACCTCCGGGACGGCGGTCGGGGAATTATGCTTTTCGGCAGCTCTGCGAGCGTGGGAGGGGTTCGATTCCCGTTGAACTCCGGACTCATTACAGTTCTCGCGGGCGGGGACACCAAGCGAGCCGGTTGGGCTTGTGTTGCGTTATAGGTCGCTTCTGAAATGGGCTTGATTTCGATCTTGAATATCCTATTCGAAGTCGTATCGTCATCACTGCTGTCATCACTAGAACTGTCTTGAGCCGCTTTCGACAAGGCCGACGCCTGCGTCGTGGGCGGAGGAGGTATACTGTAACCTTCCTGATCCACGAGGACCCCGGTCGTGGGCATCGTCATCGTACTGGACGAGCTGAGATTCGCCGCCGAGCCCAAACCCGACGATGGGTCGTTCGCTGAAGAATGGTCGATGTTTCTGCTGCTCGTCGACCTGTGACGTCCTCGCACGGTATCGAATAAATCCGAGAGCCGAGACTGCGACGACTGGTGTGGCATCGTGGCCAGATGATTCAGTTGCTGGCTGTTTATCGAGCCTCCCGTTGTCGAAGCAGAAATGCTCCCCGTGCTATTCGTGTGACCGGATCTGAAAACGTCCTCGGAACTCTGCGAATGCATCTGCGCGTGGTGGAGCGAGTTGCTGGAGAGCGGAGGCGTGTCCAGCAGCATTTTGTGGGGCTCGGGCTTGTCGCGACCGGTTCCGCGCTCTTTACAAAATCGGTCGAGCAGCGCTTCGATGCTGAGTGCGTCGACGTTCGTCTGCAGGTCCTGACACATTGAAGCACACATCGCGTAGCTGTTGATCAGCGTGTGGATATAGCCGTCGATGAAGCTCTTCACCGCGCTGAGGTGATTCTCCTCGAGCACCTGAAACCGAGCGCAGGCCTCGCTCATTTTCATGATGAAGTGCACCCGCGCGAGCTCGTGCCGATCGCT